CGTGTGATGAGACCTCCGAGTCGCGCAAGATGCTCTCGTAACCGCTGCTGGTATGTCCGCCGCCGCCGCCGCCGCCACCGCCGCCACCGCCACCACCACCGCCACCACCACCACCACCACCTCCGCCTCCGCCAGCGCCACTTCCGCCGGTCGTGTGGCTCACGGGAACGCTGCTTCCCGTGCCAACCAGACTGTTGTGGCCGGCCTGGCAATCGACGGCGGTGCACAGCTGGTCGGTGGAGGGTGTGGCGACGGCGTTTCTGCCGCAATCCGCAGCGCCAGCCTCTTGGTGTCGCTTCTGTTGCTGTGGCGGTTGTTGTTGCTGCTGCTGTGGCAACTGGGACAACTGTGACAATTGCGGCTGGAGCTGAGGCTGAGGAGGGTAGTGGTGGTGCAGGTGATGTGTGTGATGGTGATGCTGTGGCTGTTGGTGGTGGTAGGACCTGACGGGTCCAGTCTGGAACGCCTCGTGACAATGCCGTCCACAAAGGCAGCGCAATGGCAGACCACCCTGAACAGGTTGCCATGGCGACAGAGTGGCGGAGCAATCACTGCCGTGGCCACTGCTCGAATGCACCGAGGCTTTTCCGGCGATGGCGACGGTTGCGTCGGTCTGGGGCCCGGCCAAGTGGGCAAAGTGACGACAGACTAAAGGCATCACTTTGGCCAGACTCTGCGGTGGTCCGCTGGTCGGCTGGACTGCAGACACGGAAGTCGCTGCCAAGGGCGGAGATGGCGAGGCGGTCGCGGACGGATAAAGACACACGGTGCCTGAGCTCGAGCTCGTCTGGCACGGCAACCGCCGGCAAGGGCGAATGAGGGCAGGAGGCGTGCAGTCGACGAGGCTCTTGTCGCCGGGAAAGTGGGCAACGGCTCGTTCGGCCAGACCGGTTGGTATCAAAGAACCCGTCAGACACTTGTCGGCTGACACGATTCGACTCCCAGCCGCTCCAACGACGCCGAATGAGGGGACCGTGGTGGGGCAGGTCATGAGGCTAACCTCGCTGCATAACAAAGGCCCAGGTGTCGGCCCGGGTTTGGACTTACGCTTTCCGAACAGTGGACTTGTTAAGAAAGCTAGACGCCCTTTGCCCGAAGACTCCTATGGGGCGATACAAAGAGGAAGATTATTGAATAAATTGTTAATATTTTAGCTCCCCACAAACATTTACTACTTACATAATAGACAAGTAGTATAGTTTATTTTAATAAACTAAACAGCAATCCACTTTAGAGTTAAGTTGATAGATGCCTGGATTAACTCGAAGGTCACATTTGCCCTGGGGCGAACTGGAATCCATGACTAAGTAGGGGACTTGTGACATCGTCTCGATACTTACGACCCGTTATCGAACCCAGCTAGTGGTGCTAATGCGACCTGGGTGAGGTCAAGAACGCAGTCTATTCCAGCCTGGATAAGAAATCCATTCGGAAAACAACTCTGCGCGAAATCCTTCGGAAGCATGAGGCCAATACTCATATCATTGTATGAAAATTATCCTATCAGTCATTCATCACTTTTTGCGATTTAGGGTGACTGGAGCACTTAGTTAAGATTTACTGATAGTTTCGATGACCCACTTTATACGAATATTCGTCAGGACGCAACCATTTGGGGTCACTTATACCAAGCACAACGTAGTTTCAATAAATCGCTCGGAATAGCACAATTACAGTGCCTTTACTTTCATCAGTTGATCTCATAAGAAGAAGAATGCGAAGACGCTACAGTCGTTGAGGCAGTCAAAAGGGGCCACCTACTTCGGTTGCAATCACCGAATCTCTTCATTCCACTCCTTTACACGAAATAAGATTCACTATTTAAAACGTAGATATGAAGACCAAGATACCATGGCCTCTATTTTGGTAGCAGTCTCCTTTCGATGTATAGAAGGGGTCTGACCATGTTTATGCAACTTGGTTCTTCTGTCAGAGCGACTTAGTTGTCCACGGTCCGGCGTTGGGAATTATGGTAATTGCTATAGCAGAGGACTTAGGACAAGGTGTGTCCAACTGTCTCCCCCCGCCAACACGACCAAGTTGCGAAAGCAAGATAAGACCACTTCTAAGCTTCACCAAAACTAGTAATAAATGCCAGAATTGCAGATATTATAAAGTTGTCGATTTACTAACATACTACTTACACCAATAACGTATGACTTATGATCAAGTCTAGTTCACAAGCAAAAATATTTATTTTCATTTGTAAATAGGATTTCGAGACTACCAGTAATTCAGATATATAAGAGGTGTTCACCCTATTTAGTTTAGGATGAATTTTTCCACAATGATTTGATCTTGCCCTATCAAAGAGAATCGCATCCGGAAAGTTTTGCACATATTTTCGACATGTTATCACTACTACTTAAAACAAGTACAAGTAACGTAGGCAATTTTGAGTGACATGTATTTTCATTTGAAGAAATTCATGAATTTGCCTTACCGGAAACAGAAAAAGATTATTTC